ATGGTGGCATAATAGGAATATAAGAGGACCTAATATAATCCCTATTATCCCTTATAGTCACTATTACTTGGGGGGGGTCCACCTAAAATATGCTGCAATTTCTAGCTGGCTGTTGCCATGCAGTGTAAGAGGTAAGGTGAACGGAAGAAGGGTTGTTGCAGGGATGCTCGCCAACAGATTCTTTCACTGCAGCGCTATGAAGCAAAGAAGCTGTGGGGCATAAGTCCTGTGAGTGCGCCCATGGAATCCAAGCACCTTGGCTTTCTGAGGTGCAGGATGAGCGGGCATCAGCTGTGCAATCATCGCGGTCATCGTCCCTTTCCATGTTCTGCAACAGCATTTTCACGGACCTGCGGACTCAAGAACAATGCTGGGAACCTGGTTTTAGCAGGTCGTATGTGGCTTTGGCTTCCAGCGTTCTGATTCCCCAAAGGAATTCCAGGACTCTTCCTGCACCATGCGAAACTAGTATCTACAAAGCACAGATTCAGCTACGTCCTCCCCAAAAAAATCGGCTCGGTCTGAAAAGAAACCTCAAACAACGGAGCATCTTTTTGAACAAAAACCCCTAAACCCTAAACCCTAAACCCCTAAACCCTAAACCCTAAATCCCAAGACCCGGCCTTTGGTTGCATAGCCCTGCGATTTCAGACTGCTCAGCTGCGGCCAACACCAAGAATCTGGGTTGCTGTTTAGGGTTTAGGGTTTAGATTTTAGGGTTTAGGTTATCCCCCTATAATGGAGAATCAAATGGAAAAGAAAATGAAAAATGAAATGGAAACTGGGGGAATATAGGGATTTAAGGGAGCTTAATTTAAGTTACTATATTAGGGAAACCCTATTAATTACCATATATACCCATTGTGGTAACTTAATTTTAAGTGCCTTAACAGCAGCCCAGGAACGCGACAGAGAACTGACGCATGACAGACGCCATTGGCATCCACTGGGTTGGTGCTCTGGTCAGACCGAATATGCTTGAACCACGATGTTGCACACAAGGATCTTACTGATTTCAGTTTTCCAGCAGCCAGTCCAATGCTTTTGGCGTGCTAGCCTGCAAATCTGGACATTATAGACATGCACTGCTATGCCTGACTAACTCCTTCTTGTAAAGGAATCCCTGTGCCAAGACACGACCCAATGCCAGGAATCGTGCTAATCCAGCCGCATTCGTGACTGGAACCATGTAAGTTGAAGCTCGGAGGATACGAAACGTAGGGGCTCTTATAAAAAACAAATTCTCAAAGTAACTGTCCTGTCCACGCCACATGCCCGCCACATGATGGAGCTCCTTCTATGGAGTCTTATCATTTTGTGAAGTATCCTTTGGCCAAACAAGGGTTCCAGGGCCATCTCCCAAAAGTCATACCCCTTTATGGTGCTACCCTGTAGACCCCGTAGTATCCTCATGTGAGTGGCATATTCCCCTGAACCTAGGGGGATTAACCCAAAAAACCCTGTTAAGGACCTGTGCGTTTGCCAAGGTTTTGCACATGTTATGTAAGGTTCAGCGGCTCCATTCTTAGGGGCCATCCAGAGTTTCAGGTTTGGTGGCTAAATCGAGGTAGGCACGCATTTTCCGACACGTAGCTGCTGGATCTTCATTTTCAGCCCTTTGTAAAGCCTGAGGCCTTCGAATGTGGGACTGGAGTCTTGGCGTGCGCGCTTTTCAAAGGATATGATGATGATGACCGCTGCGAATGGCGGCTTGGCTTGAGGCCAAAGGCGTATGCCTCAGAAGATATGTAAAATATATATATATACATGTATATGTGTTTCTTCCAATCTGCCAAATAATCTGGAAGCCCATACCCGGCTACAGCCTCAGAAGGTCAAGGGGTTAACATGAAGGATTTGGCCCTGAATGGCGTTGAGGGCTAATCCCAGAACGCCACCTCCCCCTCACCTTTCTCTTTTGCTTCTTTCCTTTCCTGTCTTACTGATGCTTTGTAGGGAATATGGGAACATATTATATAGGGGGGATACAGGGATTATATTCCCTAAACCCTAAACCCTAAAACCCAAACCCTAAAACCTAAACCCTAAACCCTAAAAACTCTACCATAAACCCTAAACCCTAAACCCTAAACCCAGAATCCTAAAAACCCCGCAAGCTGTCGATGTGTCTGTCGAGGTGTTGCTTCGTGTCCTTCTTTGCGTCCGTCCGTCTCAATTAGGGTTTAGTGTTCTCAAATGTTGTCCGTCTGTATGGCCGCTGTCTGTCTTTCTCTGTCCCCGAATTCTGCGTGTCGGACTCTGTCACGTGGTTTAGGTGTTTAAGGTTTACCCTAAACCCTAAACCCCAAATCCTAAACCCCAGACCCAA